TTATTTATGCAGTGAATTGATTTGAACAAAGCAACAAAAGAATTCCATTGGGAGAGGAAAACTTAAATAATTAATGCTGGTATAGTACATATTCATAAAGAAAACAATGAACTTTCACCTTGATCTCAAAACGGGGACACACTTCCTCTACAATGCTTCAGAACAATACACAAACTTATTAAAATATAAACTTTCTATAAGAAATATAGCAAATTACTGTGTTGGTTAGCCCCTTATTTATCCACATCCTGGAAAGCAGAAAAACAGGTTGAACAAACTTCATTAAAATGAGATCTACTTATCAACAAGCTATGCAAACACAAGCCACAGGCTGGAAGAATATTTACAATACACATACCAGATAAAATTATTTTGTCCATAATATAGTCAGTTCACTAATGAAAAGATAGCTCTGTAATAAAAAGACCATTTAATAAAATGGGAAATGATTTAAAAAAACCATCTGAATGAAGTGGCAATCAAAATGGCCAATGTAATGTGCACATGCAAACATGCTTCTCTAGTTTATAAATCTTCATTTTCTCTCAATGTTAAATTTTGGGTCTCTCTTCCTTGCAATAGCTGTATAACTAGTTTTTTTTTTTCTGTTTTAAGTATCCACTGTTGGAAATGCATGGATTTTTCTTACAGGGAACACACTTTATGTGATTTTGAGAGACTGTCTTCTATGTTGCATATATATTCTGTCTAATTAACATATGCCAAACCCTGATAAAAGAGGTTCATTAGAAATAGCTGTTTGACTGTAGTTTTTCCTGCTACAATTATTTTAAAGTTACAATTAAAATTGGCGATTCCAGTGGTCTTCTCATTACATGGGAGAATCAAACTGAGATAAAACCAAGCGCAAAGAGAGAAAGAGACCTGCAACATGGCTTAACTCAGCCCAGCATACAGGAAACAATTTGTGCATTTGAATTATCAGTGCCACATGCCTTTTTGGCATAGGCTGCTTTATTGAAGGAAGTAGGTTTGACTTTCATTCTTGTCACTTAAAATGAAGTGTCCTAAATGTGCATGGTACAAAGTTGTGTGATAACACATTCTGAACTGTATCACACAATTTGGCATAGTAAAGTGGAAAAAGAAAAGCAATTCTAGATTCACAAGTAGGAGAATGAAATTTACTAACTTTCACTTTATCACTTTTAAATTTATCATTAAAAGCAAGTGTGTTATCTTTGATGAATGGCAGGAATGTGTTCAGCATATCACTGTGATTTAAACAGAGCTGACTAAAATGGGTGAGTGAATGAGAGCTTCTTTACATTAACTGCACTGCATATACATGCATGGACATTTAAATGTGGCTTTGGAATTTATTTTGATTTTTGATTATATTTTTTTTCAAAATTGTCTGTAATGAATCCACAGTAAATGGACTTACTATATAAATAAGGGTGAGAGAAATTAAATTAGATTTCTGGTTTTTTGTGCATGAGAGACTGAGGTTCGACTCTGGGCTTTGTGTTTGCAAAGCAGGTACTTTCTGACTTGAGTCACAACTCTAGTCCATTTTGCTCTGGTAATTTTGGAGTTGGGGGCTTGCAAACTATTTGCCTGGACTGGCCTTGTATCCCGATCCTACTAATCTCAGCCTCCCAAATACCTAGGAACAGGTGTATGCTGCCAGAACCTAACTAAGAAGGTAAACTTTTTCTTCACAGTGTTATAGTTAGGAAATTAAAAAAAAATTGGACTTTATTTAATAGCAAATTAAATTTCTATTCCTATTTTTTCAACATCTTTACTAAAATGTTTGTTTTATATAACCTAATGCTAATTAATATAATCCAAATTTCTTTAGGTATTTAAGAAATGTCAAGTGATTGTGCACCTGTACTTTCATCTTGTAGATCTATACAGAGCATAACAAGGAGATCGACAAAGGGGACCATAGGATGATCTTCCCTGGGAACTAGGTATTCCTGGTGGGAAATGGAAGATTGAGCAGGACTTTTAGTCTCAAATGACACAGTGTTAGGTCTATGACAGAATGTAAACATGTTCAGTAACTTCTACCCTCAAGGGGTTCAGCCAATCTCAGAGGCAATTATAAATGGTAGAATATATTCTGTTCTTCTAATCAATTTTATTAGAAAAGTGGAGTATGAAATACATACTATTTAAGTGAGATAATGTTCTTGAAGTTCATATAAGGTTGGTTTCTTTCTTATTAATGATGAGAACCTTGTGGAGCTATTATCAAATAAAAATCATGGCATATTCACAGTATCTCCCTTTTAGCTGGTCAGAGACAATTGTACACTGATGAATATTATCTCCTTCATCCTCTGAAACTTGGACCCCTCAGGAAGGTGAGGAGGGAGAGACCTTGATATCCAGAGCAGTGAGGTCTGAAGGTGAATGAAGGTGAGTCAGACTAATTTTTGTCTGGAAATTTTCCCTTCAAACTCAAAACTCCATAAATCATCTGTGTACTTGAGAATGCCACAAATTTAGCTCATTTCAGTTCTCATCCTTAATGAAGCCTTAGAAGAGGGAAGGAAATGATGTTGAAAGAATTGAGAAATCTAACCACATTCTAATGGGTAGAGAGACATGTCATGGGTGGCAGAAGGAAATACTGGGGCTTCCTCAGGAATGAGTTTAGGGAGTCTTGCTCTTTAGACACTTTGCATGTTTTTTTTTTCTTTTTACAGATAGCCATGAGCTTAGAAACAAGCAGCTCCATCCCTCATCCCTCATTGTAGGGTAAAAGAGTGAGTGTTCATTGTCAATGTCACCTTTTACCTCTGTTCCTACAGATCCCAGGTGTGAAGCAAATGGCTATGGAAAATGATTCTTCAGTGACAGAATTTATTCTTAAGGGATTAACAGACCAACCCGAGCTCGAAATGCCCCTCTTGCTCCTGTTCTTGGTCAATTATATACTCACTGTGGTAGGAAATTTGGGCATAATGATTCTAATTTGTCTGAACTCTCACCTTCACACCCCCATGTACTTTTTTCTCTTTAATCTGTCATTCATTGATTTCTGCTACTCATTTGCCATTACCCCCAAAATGCTGGCTAGCTTTGCTTTAGAGAGGAATATCATCTCCTTCACTGGATGCATGACACAACTGTTTTTCTTTTGCTTTTTTGTCAACTCTGAGTGTTATGTGCTCACCGTCATGGCCTATGATCGCTATGTGGCCATCTGTCAGCCCCTGCTATACACGGTCATCATGTCCCCTAGAACATGTTCTCTGCTGATGCTTGGTTCACACTTGATGGGGTTTGCTGATGCCATGGTTCACACAGGGTGCATGACCAGACTCATCTTTTGTGATTCCAACACCATCAATCACTACATGTGTGACATCTTCCCCCTCTTGCAGCTGTCCTGCAGCAGCACCTATGTCAATGAGCTAGTGACTTCTGCTGTTGTTGGTATATCTGCCTTTTTATCTAGCCTCATTATCTTAATCTCATATGCTTTGATTCTTTTCAATATTATTCATATGTCATCAGTCAAGGGTTGGTCCAAGGCCATGAGCACCTGTGGATCTCACATAATAACTGTTGGCCTTTTCTATGGTTCTGGGCTACTCACTCATATCAAAACATCACACACCGAGTCTCTGGCCCAGGAAAAGTTTTTCTCAGTGTTTTATGCTTTTATGGTACCCATGCTGAACCCCCTCATTTATAGCCTCAGAAATAAGGATGTCAAACTTGCTCTGAAAAGAACCCTGAAGAGAATCACAAACTGATTCAAACAGTGGGGATGCTTCAGTCTCTGGCCCCATTTCTTGGTCTTCTATTTCCTTCTCTTCTTCATTACCATTCTTCTACTGTTTCTGTTTTTCTTTTCTTCATCATTTTTTCTAAACTCTAGGAAACACTTTTACTGTAATACATTTTCTTCTGCATGTGACTGCATAGGTCTATTCTACATATGAAACATCCTCAGGCCTGAAGTGTCTTCATGCTAGTATTTATTGTCTGCACCAAATGGAGTCCATAGCATGATCTTTTCCTATCTAAGGATAACACTACCTACTCTTTTCCTTGCATGTATTGTCCATCAAGAAATGTCAATGGCTCAGGTACTTTTGGATAAGCTCATTTATTTCTTGCTTTTCTGAGACAATTATGCAAGCTCTTTACTGTTCCAAGTGTTTTGTTCCATATAATGGTATTCACACAAAAGGGGTGATAAAAATTGAGGGCATGAAAAATGCATAAAAATGTACATATTTTTCCATGGTTCTTTTGTCAGTTGTTTCTCTTGTATTTTTAACCTGTAATTTGTAATGGAAATGTGCATGCTATTGGATTTAATCGTACTTTTGAATGTGTGAGGATGTGTAAAACCTAGCTCTCTGCCTACCTTTTCCAAACACTACCACTACGGAGAATGCATCAATCAAGGGTTATTTGGTCATTAATAGAGCTGAAGTCATGCTTAATTTTTCATATATATGTGGGGTGTGTCTGTGTTTGTGTTCTAAAGTGATACAATAATATACCTGGCAGTATGATACAGTGTCACATGCTGTGTTAAGATTCTTTGTTTCTGCAGTTGCATAACAAGAATTCTCTTTTGCAAATCAAGGCTTATTTTCTTCCTTTAAAAGCACAAACAAGGTACTGAGGATGTAGCTCAGTCGTCAAACACTTGCCTAACCTATATAAGGTCTTGTTTCAATTCTCAGTACCATACATAAATTAAAAATTTATAAACTTAAAATGAAAAAAAAGTAAGTGGAAGTTGAAAACACAAGCAAAAACATATGGTATGAATCATGTGCAATTATGATTTACTCTTAAATATGTAAATTTTATTTTTTTACTTTTTCATCTAGAGGAATCCTTTGACTTTGTGGGCCCCTACTATGTGCCACATTCTTCACATAGCCACTTAAATATAAGTCTATCATCTGGATGAAGAAATGATTAAGTGACTTACTTAATGTCATTTTAGCTAATGATGCAGAGCCCAGTTTTTGAATGCATTGCGAATCCTATGCAGAAATGGAGGGGAAGAAAGGAAAATTGTGAAGGAAGAGAGTCCACCTAGAGGGTTGTTTCAGAATAAGTTCAAAAGGGGAGGTTCTGTGGGAATGAGGATCTTGGCTGACATGGTGTGCAAGGTTTCAGAACAGTGCATGTGCCCCTGCAGAAGTCTGCCTTTCAAACTCAGTAAAGAGTGTGGGCTGCAAAGAAGTGTTTCTTGCTAATGTGTATGTAATTCTGGTTACTTCTCTCGGTGGGGAGGCTGAGGAGTTGGTATCAAGACTTTTGCTGAGACAAATCACTATTTCTTTAAAGGCATACAACTATTAGATATTATGCCACCATTTGGAGTAACTAAAATAGTTATTCCTAATAAAAATAATAGAAAGTTATATTCAAGAAAATGTTCTGGTTTCATATTTTACACAGAAGATAAATTTTCTTTTGTCCATCACTACCTTGAACGAGTTCAGGACACATGCCTTTCAGTGCCTATAGCCTTGACAGGTTACAGTATTTCGTTATCACTATAATTATTATTTTTTACTTTGGTGCTGGTAGTTAAATGTGGGACCTCATATGTGCTGAGCACTCACTCTAACACAAAGGTGTATCCACAGTCACTGAGATTTTTATAATTATACAAACATATGATTTTTTTTTGCAGTACTGGGGCTTGAAATCATGGCCTTTACCTTGAACCACTCCACCAGCCCTATTTTTGTGAAGAGTTTTCCAAGATAGGGTCTCACGAACTATTTACCTGGTCTGCCTTCAAACCTGGATCCTCCTGATCTCTGCCTCCTGAGTAGCTAGGATTATAGGCGTGAGCCACTGGCACCCCACTCAGACATACGATTTTTGAAAAGTTTAAAAACATTGGCTTAGAAGAATAACCTCAAAAGATAACAGTGCTGGTTAAGACTTTAATCTGATTAAAAATATTGCTTTTGGAGAAGAAAGTTAATTATTTCTATTCACCTAAATATTATAATGTGTTTAAATTTTAATTTCTCAAGCAGAATTGAGTGCCTAGTGTCTACTTTTTATTTTTACTTATATTCATTACAATGCGTGTTTAAACAGAGTGCTTAAAACTGGTTTGAATTTTGTACCAAAACACATAGTACACAGAGTGCTATTAAAGACATAAAATGAAGTGTATAACATTAGGTCTACAAACCTTTGGCACAATCTAGAAGTGAAACATGAGTCACAGGCACAGCACATAATATGTGGTCTAAGCACCACACTGTAGTCAGCAGAAGGGCCTGATGAAGCTTAAATCACCCTACATGCTGGTAGAATTTCTAATATTAACATGGAAAATGTAACTGATTTAGTAATATTTATAAATAAAATTGTTTAAAGTCTTGAGTTTTGAAAACTAATATATAAGTAGATTAAATATAAAATAGTTTTGAAGATATAAACTTGATTTATAATTGTTTAATTTTCTAATGGTTTGTATGAGAAAATTGGTAAATATATGGCTATTGTCACATCTTTATTATCCTCTTATTGCATCATAGTCTTTTTGTACACAAAACATGAATGGGAAAGTCTTTATTCTACTTACATTCAAGCCCATATTGACATGTGTTAAAGGCATATGAAATATCTTTTAATAAAAGGTAATTATATTGATAATAACTTGGTTTCAGTAAATTAAGTAGCATGAACTTAAAAGGGCAATAACTTTCAAAGAGACCATGAAGTTAGATAGTTCAGAAACTTAATATTTTGGCATCCACTGACTGGTGTTTGGTTACTGCCAAGTCCATTCCATCATTCAATGGATTTGAAATATTCTCACCAATCTTGACTTATTAATGAAAGATTTTTAGGTATTTTTTACCCCAGTCCTTATTCTTTCTTCTTCAGGAATAAAGATAAGGACAGAGATTTCTAACCACTGCATGGCAGAGTGGAAAATGGGTCACAAGTGAAGGTATTGAGCCCTGACCAGTCAGGTGTGACTAGTACAGTTAGAGTCTGGGTCTGGTTTTTCTGACAGGTTGTAGCCTAGAAAGGGCTCTAGGGGAGAAGTCAACAGCAAGGTGGTGTGATGTGACAGCACACCATGGCTTTAACAGGAGCAAGAACAATGAGCATCCCTGCTCCATTATTGTAGCCCAAACAGTAATTGCTCCACCACCTGGACAGTAGCTGCACTAGACACAGGGAGAGGAGGACAAGCTTCCTAGTGGCCAAAGGACTTTGAGGCTGCTGGTGGAACTTGTGTTTCTAGTGACCAAAGAGCACAGCATTCAGCTTCAGGTCTATAGTCCAGTGTCTGTCTCCCCAGATCAGATGCCTCTGTCCATTTCCAGCCAGTTTATCCTCCTAGTATCATCTAAGCTAATATGGCTGTTCTTAAAATGCCTGTCCACTTCAAATTAGGGCTTCCTTGTCCATAAACTGGACCCTCATTCTTCTAGATATATGACTTTCTCCATGACATAGTGCAGTAAGTAATCATTCCCAGGTTCTTTCTTTTAGTTTTAGGTTTGAAATATTTTTCGACCTTCCCACCACACCAAAGACAAGTCTGAATGAGCAGCTAGCATCATCTTGTGAGTGCCTCTGTCTCCTATTTTATTGGTGATGAGAGGGCTCTAGTGAGGGCAGAAATGATGACAGAATGATAATTCTGCCCTGGTCTATTCTTTTTTTTTTCTTATTTTTACTAGAAGATACGTTTACATTTGGCCATCACTCTGTAATGCCAGTTGTTTGTGCTCTATAAATCCTGATTCTCTGTGTTCAGGTGGGCCTAGTCTCAGACCTTTCCTGTATGCGCCCCACACTTAGGACTATGATCAGAAGAGCTGGATTGTCCTCTAACTCAGGTGTTTTTTCTGTTCCCACAGATTTTCTTGCCAGAGCCATTTGGCTCTCCCAAATGACTCTTTTGTGACTGAATTCATTCTCGTGAGCTTAACAGTCCAAACTTATCTAGTAATACTCTTCTTCTTTCTGTCATAGTAATGTATATCATCACTGAATTTTAAAAATTGGATTTGATAAAAGTCATTGTGAAGAATTCACACCATCACAGACCCACAAACTTTTTCTTCTTTAACTTGTCCTTCATAGATCTCTTATTCTTCTGTGGTTATACCCGAAATGCTGGTATACTTCATATTAAGGAAGAATATTATCTTTTCATGGGTTATCTGTCCCAGCTCTACTTTCTTGCCATTTCTGAGTGCTGTGTGCTGACATCAATGGCTTATGATCTCTATGTGGTCATCTGCAATCCACTTTTGTATTAAATGCCATGTCTTCTAAAGTGTCCTCCTACCTTATACTTGGTCCTTACTTGATGACATTTTCTGATGCATGATCCACACTGGATGCCTACTGACACTGATTTTCTATGATGCAAACACCATAAATCACTATTTTGGTGACATCCTCCCTTTGCTCCAGCACTTCTGCATTAGTACCCATGTCAGTAAACTGGAGATTTTCATTGTGGTGTCCAGTCTCATCATATTTGTCTCTTATAGTTTCTTCTCTCCAGCATCTTTCACAACAGGTCAACTGAGGACAGACCCAAAACCTTTAGCACCTGTAGTTCCCACATACTTGTGTTTTCTCTGTTCTTTGGAACAGGTGCATTTATGTATTTATTCATTTTTTTTGTAACTTGAAACTTTATTTTAAAAATATTCTGAAATTTTAATTTTTCAAGTATTTTCATCACCACCTATAGCCCATCAACACATACATTTTATCTTAAAATTAC